CCCCCCCCCCTCGCCCAGCACCAGAGCTGTCTGCCTTCTCTCTCTGAGTCTGTTGTGGAATTTAATAGGCAAACTGAGCTACCAAGCAAAAGAGAGCACATAATTTTGTTAAATACCCTGCAATCTAATACCCGCCTTGCTTTCTCCCACATCCTTACATTCCCTTCTTAATTTCAAATGCAAAAAGGAAGATGCAAAACTGTTATTCTCCAGTGCATATGTCATCAGTTTGGCTCAAATAAACTGTTATAAAAATTCTCTACACGTCTGAATACTTTTTTACATGGACAAACCTGTGAATGGAGGTGAGAGACTCAATTAAAAAAACCCCACTGAAATCAATTTGGGTGAGTCCAAGAATGTCGGGGTGATTCTTGCTTCCCTGGGAGGGCATCCTGAAGGGATGAAGCCTCTTAAATAAGCTACTGTTGTGTGTGACTGTAACAGTGGGGAATTGTAACCCACCCCACTATTCTTTTGACATTGCTTCTGTAAATGCTAACTCTGACTAATATGTAGTTGTAGATAAACAGCATGTTTGTATAGGAGTCCTAGGAAATAACTTCAGAAGATGCAGACTCCGACCTTCAGTCATCCCAGTTTTGGGAGATTTGCTGAGCTTCAACCATAGAACCAGGATGACAAAGACCAGGATGATGCACACTGGACCATCACTAAACCAGTTTCAAGATCCCTGTTGAAATGCATTGTGCTGGTCTGTACATAGAGAACTTTTCAACTTCTTCTCCTTGATTTCCTTGTTCTGCTTTCCCTCTCCTTCCTTATAAAAACCTCTGCCTGCAATGAGATGTTGAAATGGGCTTTGTAACAAGAGTCCCCCATCTTCTCAGGTGTCTAGCACTTGAATAAACCACTTTCCTTTTTCACCAGTATCTGTCTCATGAGTTTGGATTTCATAGTAGCAGGCAGCTGAATCTGGCTTCTGGTTACATGGCCCTAAGGCCAACATGATATGGGAGAGACAGAGTAGCTGGAGTGGAGTTCAGTGTCTCAAGGGGGCAAGTAAGTGCAGGGGTAACTGAGATACAAAAGAGGCTTCCGATTGAATTAAAGAAGTTGCAGAGTTCTATGACCTCATGACCAGAGGGGACATAAACAGTGGGCACTTGAACATTGCTCAGGGTACCAGGTGGTCATACCATGCTACAGTGGGGACCCCAGGCCAAGACAGCCAATATAGCCCTGGATGGTGTTGCTGAGTAGTTAGACCATAGGTCATTGCATTGAAGAGTTTTGGGTTCAACTTCTGGTCAAGGGCACATGCCTGGGTTGCAGTTTCAATCATCGTCCCTAGTCTGGGCTCATGCAGGAGGCAACCGGTTGATCTGTCTCTCTCACATCCATGTCTCTCTCTCTCTCTCTCCCCTCCTCTCCTTCCCTTCCTTCCCCGATCTCTCAAAATCAATGGAAAAAATATCCTTGGGTGAGGATTAACAACAACAACAAAAAGAGGACCAGTACATATTGCTTTCAGTGGGTACCGAGAATTTCAGATGATACAAATGCTTGGGGGCAGGATGAGTAATAACCTCTGCTGACATCTCTACAGTATTTGACCGTTTAATAATCTGGTTTATTTTGTGTATTGGCTAGTTGATTAGATTTCACAGAATAGATAGTGGGTTTTGAGAAGGAATGTAGCAGTGAGTCACCTCAGTGCCCAGCATTCAAGTCTTGTGTCTCCAAATTCACCACCTCTCTGTCTCCTCACTGCTTCTCTGGGCCTCACTGATGGTGATGACAGTCATTCTAGAGCTCATCTCTCTCATGTCCTGCTTAATGCTTTCCAGACACCAAGGTGTCCTCAGCCCATGATTACTGCCTGTCATTCCATGGAACAGTGAGTGGCTGGGCCAGGCTGCTGTGCTGCACATGGCAGGAGTAGGGGTCTCTGTCTGAAGAGGGGATTTTCACCACCACCCAGGACTCATAAGTGCCATTTTCACTGAGAGGACCTTCTCCCCATGACTCACTCTCTACTGCCCTGTCTGCCTGAGTCCAGTACATACTGACTGGTCGTGGGTAGAAGTTGTAAGCCAGGCACTTGAGGATCCTGATGTTTCCTGGGTCCACATGGCTGGTGATTGACACAGAGGGAGTATCTGTAGAGAGATACAGCGTGTAGGTTGAGGGCCTGAAAGGGACGTTTCCCTGCTCATGTCTCTCCCACCCCTGGAGTCAGGGATGAGCTGAGCTCACAACTTTCTACCTGCCTCTTTAGGGAAACTTCCAGAAGATCAGGGAAGCAGAGGGTTTCCCTGTTGGATAATGAAATGTCCATGGCTACTTTCTTGCCTCCCAGCACCCTCTGCTCACCCACTGTATATTGACTTCTGATGGCAAAAAATGTGAATGCCTCATGCATTGTTCTGTGTTTTTAATCCAAAACCTCTCAGTGGGCTTTGTGGCTCCTGCCTCCCTGAGTCTGAGCCCCATCCCTTAGTTCTGCCTGCTGCTCTGTCATTGAGACCTTTCCCTCCTCCCTCCCACAAGAACTTCTTTCTGATTAATTCTTAAACCAAGGTCTCAGCTTATGTCAATCAATCCTGCTCACACTTACTCATCTTCATCCTTCCTGGGCAGACATTTTACACACCTGCCTTCTCCCCACAGCCAAGCCAGGAGGCATATCAGAGAGAGAAATGACTAGAGGATTTGCCTGAAATGTTGCTCTGAGGTCCCAGGCTGGGGTCACCTTGGTCGTTCTCAGCTCAGTGCGGGGTAGCAGGACATAGGGAGCAGTGGGTACCTTGGCGGTCCAGGAATGGCCTGCTGTATTGCAGGTATTTTTGCAGCTTCTGGGTGCACTCTTCCTCCAGGGAGGCCTTGGCCCGCTGCACAGAGCCTTCTGTCTCCCACTTCACCTTAGTGTTCACAGCTTCTGGTTGCAGGGGGATCCAGGCTGGGATTTCTGTGTTGAACTTGATGTAGTCTCGTCCATCATAGGCAACCGTCCAGAATGCCCCACAGTAGTTGTTATTGCAGAGTTTGCAACCATATTTTTCCTGCATGGTGTGATTCCCTGCATGTAACCCGACCCCCAGGAAATCAGTCAGCCTGGCATCAACTCCGTCTTAATAACTTACTCCTGCACAGTTTGCAACCAATTAGGAAGGAAGGGTTTTGAAATCTAAACATGCAACCCCTTTATCTTGGCAAATGGGTTTGTAGCCAGACAGAGCAGACAGAAGGAGGGAAACTTAGTATGCTTTGGTGTTTTAGGCCCGTCTGAGGTGAGATACATTCTTCCCAGCCAGGGGGTTTCAGAGAGCTACAGACTGTGGACAGATCTTCTAGCCCCTTGCAGCACCTCTTTAAATGAACTTTGAATATACTGTGAGGTCTTAGGAACCAGACACAAGCATACAGAAGTGCATCGACATGTTAAATAGAAATTATTTGTAGTTTAAATAGATTGTGTAATCCCCGTTCTACTTGGAATTTGATGTCTCCAATTGAGTCCACATATGTTGATCAGTTCTTCCCTCTTTTCTGGTATCTGATATTTTCATTACAGATCTTTAACCTGGCCTCCTTACCCGATTAGCAACACCTCTAGGAAATTAGCCTTCTTAGGAAAAGGGGACTGGACCACTTTAATTCTTTTACGAAGGTAGGTGTTTATCCAATACTGATTAGTGCTATTGGCACAGGCCCTGATCTCAAGCTATCTGGGCTCAAATCCCAGACCTATCTCTACCCTCACCTGTCTTGTTGCGTAAATTTCAGCCAATAACCTGTTTTCTAAGAAGGCAATAGCACTATGTTAGAGGGTTGTTGTGATCACTGCATGTGTCAATACATGTGCCTAGCACATGTGGCTCAATAAATGTTAGGTCTTTTTATTTTCTAATACACTGTTTTCATCTCCCTATCCTGTTTACTCATGATTGCTCCATCAACATCTCTATTCCAGTCAATCAAACTTTGTTTTAGTGTCCTTCCCAGGCACCTGTCCCTTACCCTCTCCTATTGCTGAGTGCAGCTCAGGCTGTTTTTTCACAAGGACTTCCAATCCACATCCTTCAGATTTTAGTAACTTTTGCCTCCTTTTGGAAACTCAGATTTCATGTAGCTTTTTGGGCATTTTCATACTCAGAAACCCATCATTTGACACCTATCCTATAATAATTAAAAATCACCAGTTCATCAAGCCCGTGACTGGTTGGCTTGTGGGGTAGGCAGTGTGGTTCAGGGGAAAGAGTGCTGGGTTGGGAGATACGAGAACTAGTCTCTGCTCTGCTCTGCACTGGCTTCTCATACCACAATTCCTGATGACCTCTCCTGCCCAAGTCTCCTCCCTATGGAAGGAGGGTTTTAAATTCTAACAGTTTGTGATTTTGAATTCGATCCTTCCTGAGCTACTAGTATGAGCCATGGTTTATACCAGGTGCTTTCTCTCAATCATTCAGCATCTTCATTGTCTGTTTTAGGTTATAGGGCTCCAAGGGAGATCAAGACAGGCTATGTTCTAGCTTTCATAAAATTTACCTAGGTAAGTTTTTCAGAATCTCTTGGAGGTCATACAGATGCTCCAATTTTTTTCAGATTCAGATCAGATAATAAAGAACACATTTACTGTGAAACAGCTAGTGACTGGCAGAGCTAGCACCTGAACCCTGGTCAGAATGACCCAAGGTTAGCTCAGTCCCCAGCCAACATCCCTGGGTGGGAGTGAGTCTGATGCTTTCTGAAGTGGGATCCACCTCAGACGGGTTGGGGTGTGTGCAGCTGAGAGGTCAAATGTGCCTGGATAAAGGCTGACCTTGACAACACTTGGTACAAGAGGCGAGGCCTGGGAGTGAGGGTGGAGGAAGTGATTGGGAAGGAGAAAAAGCAGCTGTGATGTGGAGGAGGGGGGTGAAGAAATAGCTATGAATCTTTAAATATGCTGCTGGCTCCTCCGGCATAGAGAGTATTTCTAGCCTGCAGACCTCTTTCCACTCACAATTACAGGACTGCCTCTTGAGCTAAGACCTTCTACTCCAGCAGTCCATAGTCCACTGACCTGTGTCCTTGTAATAGCCCATGATGTCTTTCAGGTTCTGCAGAAAGAAGTCTCCTCTGGCCTTCTGAAATTTACTGAGTTGCTCCCAGTCCTCTATTTCTTTTACCTGTTTCCATGGGCCCAGTGGCTCAGCCTTTTCACTTTCACTATCGTAGTGGAAGAAGGCCTGATCATTGAGGTAGCCAGTGGCCTGAAAACTGGGGAAGCCCTCCTTGGGCATGGATATCCCACTGGAGCTGTAGGTCAGAGAGTAAGGCCCTGCAAAAGAAAAGATTGAGCTCTGGGATTCACGCAGGGGAGTCCCTTCATGGGACAGCAGAGGGCCAGGAAGGGAGACCTGACCACTAGGCTTCTTCCTCCCCAGCACTCTCCACCCCGCTGCCAGCCTTGCACTATTGGATGCTTGCTTGAGAGAGTGGGCTCTACTTCTATTCTGGGTATAATACTTCAGAGACCATTTTGTGTTTTACTACATTGTTTCCTCTCTAGGCACATGAAAAGATGATATTTCTCAGCCTTCTTGTAGGTATATTGGGACCATGACTAGGTTCTATCAAAAGGGAATGTGAATGGAAGTGATTTCTTTCTTCTGGTCTGAGGCCCTGCGAGCTGGTTTGAACCCTCTGTCTCTCTTTTATTTAGGTGATGACCATGGAGGCCACAGGATGAAACAAAAGAGTCCCAACATGCAAACTACCTGCATCCTTGAGTCATTCATGGAGGACAGAAAAGTTGCCTGATCTGTATTCATTTTTACATAAGCAAGAAATAAACATTTGTTGACTTATGCTTCTAAAAACAATCTTTGTTACTGGAGCATAGCCTAGTTGAACCTGACAAATACTTATAGTTAGGAAGTGTAGGAAGGAGAATAGACTAAAAACCTCAGGAGATGACCCAGAATGGATCAGCATAAGGTAAGAACAGAATGGAGCTCAGAAATACAAGGGCTGTCCCTGCATTTTTGTGTGAGTCAGGGAGTGGTAGAGGGTTGGGATATTTTGATAATTAATTTCAATATAGATTCCTCATATAACTCTATGGGTGTTACTAATGTTAGAGGTCATATTCCAGATTTCTAGTTTCAGTACTGAAGTTTTTCTCACTAATTAGTTTCTAAATGTGATTACCATTTTACTTAGAGACGTCGAGTGAAGAAAACACCACATAATATGGGTGGGCCTCCTCTAATCAGTTGAAGGCCACAAGAGAAGAGACTTAGGTCTCCAAAGGAGAAAGGAACTCTGCCTCCAGATTGCCTCTGGATCCAAGACTGCAACATCATCTCTTCTCTGGGTCTCCAGTGTGCTCACCAACTTTGCAGATTTCAGACTTCCCAGTCCCCACAATGGAGTAAGCCACACCCTTAAAATAAATCTCTCTTTCTGTGATATGCATGCCATTCATTCTGTTTCTCTTGAGAGCCCTGACAAAATTGGATTATGGTGTAGGATGTGATTAACAATCTCAATATGACCAATTGTTGTAAAACACATATTCTGACAGTTTGTAAATGTAACAAATTCTAAATTTACACAGCTTAGCTTACATTTCTTCATCCTGAAATTCTGTATGCCAAAAAACCCCTTATTACTCTGTTGTAAGATGGACTCTGGTTCTGCCCAACCTCTAGCTGGCTTCTTTCCCCGTCACTAGCTTTCCAGGCTCACTGTCGGAGTGTCTCACTGTGGAGTGAGGAAATGGGCCCTTCTAGAAGCATCCCCCACTTAATATGCGTTTACAAGTGCTCTTTGGAGTTTCTGCCTTTCTCCCTGAGAGTCAGACAGGTACATGCCGTCATTGGAAGGAGAGAGGAACAAAAAGTCCCCCCGTGTGGCCCCTGCCCTGTCCTGGCTATCTGACCCGGGACAGGGCACTTCACTTGTCTGGGTCTTAGTTTTGTTCATTTGCCTACTAAGAATTTTAGATTCTAATTATTTAAGGTCTTACTTAGCATGAGTCCAGAGGCTCCCTAAATGCCTCTGGAAGTGTGTGAGCTGAGTTAGCTGAGCCTTGAACACCCATTCCTACTGTACAGTAGGAACCCCGGCTTTACCTGGGGCCCTCCCCAGCCCATCTCTCTCATTCATTACCTCCCCTCCACTCTTCTTCATACCCAGCCCTTGGTTCCCAACTCACCATCTTGAGTCTCCTGGGGGACTGCAGGACCCAGAACAAGCATTAGGGACAGCAGGACAGGCACCATTGCGCTCATTGTGTCTGAGTGGAAGGTCCTGGACTTCCCGAGGTCCTGGTGCAGACTACTTGGAGAGACAACCAGTTATAGTTTTAGGAATGGCTGGGATTTGAGCCCTGCCCAGTTGAGGCGAATGCACAGGCCAATGAGAGTGCCCGGCTGGGCTCCTCACTGCCTGTAAGGAAACAGGACACACAGGCCAGGCTGGGCGGGTGTTTTCCTCAGGGAGTCCACGGATGGCCTGCCAATGGAGAGCCAAGGCAGCCGTTTAGGTAAGGACTTGGTCATGGGTTCATGCTGTGGCGTTTGTTGTCCTGTTGGCAGCAGCATGTGTTTATAGTATTAGTTCCATGGTGTGATTTGCCTGTGCTTCTCCTGCCTAATTCTGAGTTTGTCCATTGATTTTGAGAACTAACTGGTAAATAAATGTATTTTCTGCTTAAAGTCAGAATAGGAATCTGTTTCAGTAATTAATAATGTGACTGTTACTGTAACTGCACAGGATGTGTTCAGGCAACAGTCACTCAGGGAAATGGAGGGAGAGGAACCAGACTGGGGCTAAAGGCAGTTAAAAAACTGATGTTGGGCGTGGTCTTGCAGGCTGTGATAAGCAGTGGAGGGTCAAACAGCCAAGTGTGTCATCTCTTTTGGTCAACTAGAATAAAATGCTCAGCGAAGGCAAAATATTAGGTGCCAAATAGCTTGAGAAATTCAAAGACAAAGTCTGATGATTGAGTCCATGGGGCTGTAAAGCTTAAAGAAAAAGAGAATTAACTCAGAAGCAGAAAGTATTGATTCAAAGCACAATCTGAAAATCAGGTGATTTCTATGATAGTGCAGAAAAAATTCTTTTTGGCTTTTCTAGTTTTAAGGATGAAACAGACAAAAACCCAATAGTGCCTAATGATTTAAACCTAAGAACAAAAAAAAAGTTTTCATAACAATTACAAAAGCCTAAAAAGTCCAATAGCCAAGTGTGATCAATACATTGCTACAAATCTTGTATGGTTGCTAGTAACAGTGGGTGACAAGAGCTCCATGAGAGAAGGAAGTCAAGTGTGGCATGGCGTCAGGAAAGGCTTCACGAGAGACGTGGTTGAGCAGGATATCCCACAGGGATAGAGTTTCTGCTGGCAGCAGGGGCAAATTTTATAAGGACAGAGATTTGTTATCCCTGGCCCTAGTGCTTAGCCCAGTTCCTGGCAGAAAGAAGACAATGAATAAACACTTAGAAAATATATCAATGGATAAATGAGCAGTGACCAACAGGGGCAGCACCAGATCTATCTGAGAGTCACTGAGGACAATTTGGTAGAAATGGAGTTCAGGAGGAAGACTGAGGGTATGTCAGGTGGGGTAATATATTCGAAAGGGAAGTTGGAGGGCCCCCATCCAAAGAACATCCAATGTCTTCCAATGAACGAGGCACATTTTACTCTTGTGTATTTTCCCTCACAGCCTGTGTTTTCTGCATACAACCCTCTAGATCACCAGTTCTTAGCCTTTTGTGCCATCTACTCACTTGCTGAGACAAATTTTATTTTTTCTTAATTTTTAGAATGTATTTATTGATTTATTCCTTTCAAGATATTTTTAAATTCATTATACATAAAACATAGAATAAAGAGGAAACCAGTTACATGGAAATGCAGATCTTTCCATGCAGCTTTGTGGCCTAATGCATTCTTTGAGAGGGGTCCCCCAGATACAGAGCAACCTGCTATCCTAAAGTGAATGAGCAATGGTTAAGGAGATAATTTGTGGCAAGGAGGCTTTCCTGAGGCGAGGCTTCCTGAAATTGCACTTGAAGTTGATCCCGCCTGTAGAGGAAGTTGTTGGTGTTCTTTGTTGAGTCAGAAAAAGGTGATCTTGGAAAGACCCACATTTGGTTCTCTGGACCCCTTTATGCTCTCTGGTGTGACGAGTTGATCCCCATGACCAGGTCCCAAATTCAGGTTGCATCCCTGTCAGGACCTTGTGACCCTCCCTTCTCAGCTGTCTCATACCTTTCTGATGAGCAACAATCTTTCTACATGTTCTTGGCAAGGTATGTTAGGTTTCCATACCTCCTCTGAGATCTCAGTCCTTCCAGGAAGTTCCTGTGGGGGTGAGAGTGGCTCTGTGCCCTCTCCTTCTCCCCCACAACCTGCCAGGACTCTAGTCTTTTGAGGTTTCCTTCTTCTAGTCCAAGTCCCCCCCGCTTCTCCTCTCATAAGTGGGGTGAGGTCTCACATTGTAATCTGCCTAGCCTTGGGATGTTCATGTGGGTTTCTGGTTTCCTCATTGATCTGAAAATGTTCTCCTGTGACATGCTTTTCTTTATTTGTTCAAAGGGCTCAAAGGTTTCTGTGTGTGTGTGTGTGTGTGTGTGTTTTAAATACCATTGGCTGGTTTATTTCCTTCTGAGTTATTTGGCTTTTCCCCCCATTACTAAACATCAAAGACAACATTTCCTCATACTTCCCACCCAATACAGTGTAATTGAAAATACTAATGTGAGAAAGAATTAAAGGACCGAGTGCCTTACCCAGGCGACTTTCTCCCTGGAGAGCTCAGGACAAGAACAGACATTAAACTTCGGTCCCTTTCTTGAGGCTCAGGATTGGGCCGACAATATCCCTCTCTGTCTCCATTTTTGTCCTGAACCCCCTGGAGCTTTGAGAGTAGTTTTAGTGGGTTAAGTGGGATTCTGAGATATACCATTCCTCTAAACCCTCCTGTTTCTCTTCCACTAGGTCATCTACCTGCTTATATCCCCTCTCCTCAAGGTTCATTGGCCTTTCTCTTGCTCAGTGCTGGTGAGTAGAACATAAGAAGCTGTGAGCACTTAGGCCAGGTAGTAGGTGATTCTTCTGAGCATCTCAGGGCACTCCTCCTCCAGACAGGCCCCAGCCACTTCATTGAGATGCTCTCTGCTTCTCACTTCTGATTGGTGTTCAGAGCTGCTGGGTCCAAGGGGACTCAGGCTAGGATTTCTTTGTTGAATTTGGTGAATTTGTCCATTGTAGGAATACCTCCAGAACGCTATCCTGCTGTGTATGTGTGTGTGTGTGAGTGTGTGTGTGTGTGTCATTCAAAAGCTCTCAACCCAACAGTCCCTGGAAGATGTGAGACTGTGAGACCATGAAGGTACAGCCTCCCAGACCCCAGTTGGTCTGGCTTCATTTTCTGCCTTTTTCATGGTATTGTTTCCATCTCTGTTCTTTTTTTATTTTAATGTTTTGTTTTTAGTATTTATTTTATCCTATAAAGCTATAAAAGCAGTTGAGCCTTCAATCAATTTGTTTTGTTTGTTTTAGACAAACTTCCATATTGTTACTTCCAATTACATACATAACTTTTTTGCAGTTCCTCCCTTTTCTGTGAATCCTTTCCCGCTGAAAATTCTTTGCTTAAGACAGTAAGTTTTACCCCCCAATATCTGATTTATGCAAAGTAATGTGGTTTCCAAACCATTTTTTCTTTATTTTTCACATCTTTTAGGTAGTTATTTTGGAGCTATTTGCCTCCATGTCTCTAAATAAAATGCTTTCTTGATGTTTCAATGCTAGGCATTATCAAGCTAATATTCTGGAAGATGATTTACCGTCTTTCCTTTTCCAACCTCCACCACACATGCCCATTTTCCCTTATCCATCCCCCTAATATAAACATTATATATGAGAAATTAGATCATTGTTTTCATTATTATGACTATGTAATACCTTTACTCTGCTATGTAGTAAACTATAATTATTTTACTTTTACACATAACTTTTTGTTTTTTAAAAAATTTATCTTTATTGTTGAAAGTATTTTAGATATCCCCCTTTTCCTCATTGATCCCCTCCAACCCACATTCCTCTACCTGGGCCTTCACCACACTATTGTCTGTGTCCATGGGTTATGCATATATGCATGTAAGTTCTTTGATTAATCTCTCCCCACCCACTCCCTCACCCCCGCCTTCCCACTGAGATTCATCAGTCTGTTCCATGCTTCTATGTCTCTGGATCTATTTTGTTTTTTAGTCTATTTTGTTTATTAGATTCCACGTATGAGAGAGATTATGTAAAACTGAATCAGGAAGAATCAGAAAACCTGAATATGTTAAGAACAACTGATGAAATCGAAGCAGCAATTAAAAAACTCCCAGCAAACAAAAGCCCTGGTCTGTACAGCTTCACAGGGGAGCTTTCTAATTCTTTAAGTTGTGGGGTTAGATAGTTTACTAAAAATTTTTCTTGCCTTTTGACATAGGCCTGTAGTGCTATGAACTTCCCTCTTAGGACTGCTTTCACTGTGTCCCATAGATTTTGAGTTGTTGTGTGTTCATTTTCATTTGTTTCCAGGAAGTTTTTGATTTCTTTCTTGATCTTATTGGTAACTCATTCATTGTTTAATAATATGCTATTTAGCCTCCATGTGTTTAATGTTTTTCAGTGTTTTTACTGTAGTTGATTTCTAATTTCATGCCATTGTGATCTGAGATGCTTGATATGATTTCAGTCTTCTTGAACTTGTAGACTTGTTTTGTGTCCTAACATGTGGTTTCTCTTTGAGAATGATCCATGTGCACTTGAGAGAAATGTATATTCTGCAGCTTTGGGGTGAAGTGTTCTGTAAATATCAATTAAATCCATCTGATCTAGTGTGTCATTTAGAGTCACTGTTTCCGTGCTGACTTTTTGTCTGGAAGATCTATCCAGTGAAGTCAGTGGGGTGTTAAAGTCCATGACTATGACTGTATTGCTGTTGATATCTCCCTTAAAGTCCTTAAGGGTATTATTATTATGGTTATTATTATTTTAATATATTTTTATTGCTTTCAGAGAGAGGAAGGGAGAGGGAGAGATAGAAGGAACCATCAATGACGAGAGAGTCATTGATCGGCTGCCTCCTGCACGCTCCCTACTGGGGATCAAGCCTGCAGCCCGGGCATGTGCCCTGACTGGGAATTGAACCGCGATCTCCTAGATAATAGGTGGATGCTCAACTGCTGAGCCACAACGCTAGATTCTGCTCACACAGCTCCAGGCCACTCTGCCCTCCCTCTGCTGCAGCCCAAGGTGAGTGGCTGCACATGAAACTGTGAGTTGGCCCTTTTATAGGGTGCCTGCATTTCTAGTCCTCTCTCCCTGGCACACAGAAACCCAGCTGCTTTTCACAGC